ATTTTAATTGATTAATTGAATAAATTAGAATCAATATTTACACTTTCAACAAAAATTAATTATAAAAAATACATTTAAAGACCCAAAAATTAAAATTTCAAAAATCATCAACATAAAACATATTTATTTGCTTTTGGGCCCATACTTTTCCTGGGCACAACTTACATCAAATTGCATTGTTTAGACCTTTTGGTTGTTTATCAACGAAAAGCGAGGGAGACAGTCAGTACAAAAAATTAAAACAAATAAATAAATAAAATTTCGCCTGTCCCACCGGCGATTATTCACGACATCGGGAAAAACCTCGCCGGCGGTTCTATTTTCTCGTTCATGTCTGATAAACATTGTCATTTCCATCGGAAAGTTTCGAATTGACGGAACATCCAACTGCTCCGCCGTGCCAGTTGCAATTTAGCCGCCTTTTGAATGGCGAAGAGACTCGATTCTCAGCTCCCTTTCTCTCAGTCCCTCAGCAGTACAGCACACGCACTTCCTCTTTTCATTTGCATTGTTCAAATCTATGTTTTTCGATCTTTTTTCACTTTTCACAATTGATACATAAAATGATTTCCATCTAGATTCATTAATAGCATTTCATTTTATTCTTCTATAAAGATTATGGCGATTCACTGCTTTATCGAGTTGGAATCGCTTGAATCTTCTGCTTGTGGCTCTGCTGATCGGAGATGTAAAGGATCTAGTTCCGGTAACATGGGAGGAAGAAGTTGAGGCGTACAGGGAATCGAAAGCCATGAACGGCAGGGTAATTTCAAATTCATGATCACTTTTTGTTTTGCCGTATTTACTTGTTCATGGAATCAACAAGCTATCCTGTGTTTGCAAGTTTGTTTAAGATATCTTGGCAGCATTGTCTTAGTTATGCCTTGGTTTTGATTCATGAATCCTGATGCAAGTGGTTGAAATCTATCTGAATTTGATTAAACTACAGATATATTCTATTTTTTTTGTTTTCCGTCGGTATCCGGGGTTTCGCTCCCACTAAACCGGATCAACCCGCGTCGTGCACCTGCAAATGGTGGGTGAATCTTCCAACGAAAGCTGTTGCATACACAAAGTCTCAAACTCAAGACGTTACTTAAACTGGAACAAGTCGCTTACCACTTGATCCAACCCGTTCGTTGGTACTACAGATATATTCTATAAATCTGTTGTAAATGCAACTTCCACATTGCCAAGGGACAAACCATTACTTAGAAAGTACTATTTTCTCAACTACTTTTTTTTTTTTTTCCTTTTCCCATAACTCTCCCATGATCAAACTATTAATCCTGTTTTTAGGATGGAGTCCATTGAAAAGTCTTATTCAAGAATGGGTAATAATTTCATCAAGAATTCTTGTTTCCTCTATGTTTTTGGCTTATGAAAGTTTAATTCAGTGGTTTATTTGCCTTTATGAATTCTATTATATAAGATACTTAAGAAACCATGATTGATCATGTATTAACATGTAGTGTTAACCTGAAAATCAATGGCACTACTGGGAAGATGATTCAGGTACATACACTCTCAAGGGTCCATTGCATCAAAAGCAACTTGTTATGGGACAGGAAATTTGTAAGCTTCTTGATAGTATGTTTTGTCCCTGTATTTGCACACTGTGTACTGTGTCCTCTATGTAATCCAAAGAAATAGAGCCCATATACTATTCTACTTCTTCTTGAAAAGCAAACTATATAATTTTGGGTATGATATCAATCAGTTCTAATGTTTTATTCTGTTTGGTACTATTAGTTCTAGTTTATTTTAGCATTATTTATTTATACTTGCGTTTGGGGTGTTATTATAATTATGATGTAATAGCTCGTTTTAATTGTGATTATCAAATCTTTTGGGACTAAAAGTTAGATAGAGATTTAGGGTGGATAAAGATTCTCTTTCTTGATAAAACAAAGGTCGATAGAGATGGATAAGTGTTTATATCTTGGTTAACAAATAACAACTACTTGGGTTGTGTAAAACCGCGAGTGCGCCTTCTTTGTTCACTTTTGTTTTTTCATCCATCTCTTCGCTCTAGCTACCATTGTTTGAGAACAGCCACGGTATCCTGCAGAAATATTTGATCAAGCATGGCAGAGACAAACATGGCATCTTGCTTTTGCTGCAAAGCATGCAATATCAAGATTGCGATGAGCCAAGACTACATCCGTAGGGTATGTATCTATTTTTGCATAATTTTCAAGAATGGTTAATGTTACGTGCTTTAACTTCCTGGAAACCTAGTCTTTAAATCCACCTTCGATTCTGCATTCTTGAGGTTTTTCTTGAATCGTGGTTTTGCAAATCTAGAAGGGTGATTCTCTTTAGTTGTCAATTGTCATGTAATTGCTTGCATATTTTATAGTCTGCAATGCGTTCTCTTTTAGAAACTATGTTTTACATACTCAAGAGGGTCATTGCTAATGGTGCTTGAAGTACCCTTCTACATCTGAAACACAGCATCTCTGTTTTTCACTGCATCCCTCCTTCTGTTTCATAATCCAGCGTCTTTGCAAACAAATGTCATCCAAATTTTGTAAAGACTCGTATACTTTGGCAGTCAAGAAACTTCAATAATGCCAACTAGAAGGAAAGAATATGGTGTTTTTGTTTCTTGGATAATATGATTAGATGGCCTTACTGAAAATTATACGTTGCTCATGAAATGTTCCTCAAATTAACGTGGAGAGATCAAGTGATCTGAGTTTTTCTTCATATATTTTTCAGGATGCTAGGACAGCCCTGTTCAAGAAAGTGTAAGATATTCTATTGGATGATCTTGCCTCAAAAGTTGATATTCAATTTTAGTTTAACTAGTTTGAATAATTTCAATAGTTTTCCTCTAACAACCATGACGGAGTCTGAGTATGCTTTTGTAATGCAGGGTCAATGTTCAAACTGCAGGTCCCAAAGATAATTGGCAGAGGAAAGGCTGTACATTGGCAAATGTGTATTGTCGTACTCACAGTTGTAACAAAGCATTGGGCTTTAGAATTGTAAGTTGATTTACAGTGTCTCAGTTCCATTGATATTCACTCAAGCAGATTCAAACCTTCTAAACAATAAAATCCCTCAATTTTCAGGTTTCAGCACCCCACCGAAAATTGATGGAAGGAAGAGTTGTACTCAGTCTGTAAGTATTTCTTAGAACTGCTATACTGTAGAGTGCAATTGCAATAAAATTATAATTGATTCAAGAATCTGGATGATTGATCAAGGGACCGTCTACTGTATTGGAATGGGAAAAAGCACAGTAATTCACACCTCGTGCATCCAGAGAACAGATTCTTATCTGAGTTTGATGAAACTGTAGTTCCTCATTTCTATGTCTGCCGTAAATGCTTTGCACACATTGCCAACAACAAAGAATTCATGGGCAAAGTAACTGCTTTTCTCTTTCTTTCTCTCCGCGTGCGTCTGTTTGTCTTCATATTATAAATGGCAGTGCTCAAAGATCTAAGAATCTAACTATTACTTTTCAATCTACTGTCAGAGAAATAACCTGGGCTGGTTCAAGGATGTGTAAGACAGTCTTCATCCCAAGCTGCATTGAGTTGAATTTCAGTTGGTTTACCTACCATTTGATTGATCTTTTTTTCTGACGTGTAGTTGTAACTTACTACACAGTGGCTCGGAACCTCACTCTGAGAATGTTGTGATTGGTGGTACACTGAGAAATGAATACTGCGCCAATTGCTTCTCACATTTGGGCGGGCAAATTGTAAGTTCTTTCTGCAGTGTATATAAGATCAGAACTTTTAACTTCTAACCAACTACTACAACTTTTAGGTTGCCATGAAAACACCCTACCCACCGCTCCAGGAAGGAAATTCCTTCCTCATGTTGTAAGTATTTTCTGACACCAATTACAAAGAAAGCTAGTGGAGTGAATTTTTTTCCCCTGGTTTTTGATTTAAGAACCTGGATGAAGGGCTATGCTGTGGTACTGGAATGGAGAGATGATGTGTGATGCTGATGACCACCTAATGCCGGCTATGAACATGCAAGATCCTTATCTTCTCTTAGAAGGATAGTTCCAGGACATTTGAATTGTAAAAATATGAGAATTGAGATGGTGAGTCAAGGAATTGCTTTTGTTGTTAGGTCTTTGAACACAAGAAATGTGAAGTGTAATTGTGAGAATTTAGATGTTCGAGTAGTGGAATTGCTCTTGTTGTAGGACTTGGAACGGTATACAATACAGAATACAAGGGAAACCTAAACTGTATGTCAGTGAGAATTTAGAGGGTGGGATTGCTATTGTTAGTGCTGAATACTAA